GAGTTGTAGTAAGTAGATAGAGTTCGCTATGATTGAGGTTTCCTTTATGCATAGAATAGATTCTTTTAATTACATTTCCTTTTTTGTTTTGTGTATTTTATACATTTTGGATTTGCTTGGCGAGCTATTTTTAGAACATGCTCCGCGGGCGACTAAGTGCCCGCGGGCGACTGAGTGCCCGCGGGCGACTGAGTGCCCGCGGGCGACTGAGTGCCCGCGGGCGACTGAGTGCCCGCGGGCGACTGAGTGCCCGCGGGCGACTGAGTGCCCGCGGGCACCGTGTTGGCTACCCCTGCTCTAGATAATAATCAAATCAAACATTTATTTAATTGATTTCCTCTCGTTTGTCCAGTAGAGGGCGCTGTGGGATCAAAGCTCATTACACTTATCTCTTAGGGGCACAATAAACGCGGGTGTAGCGCGATCACGTGACGGACCGTGGCACTACTTTTGACCAAGATATTATTACGCTTTGAAGGGACTAGTTCAGCCAATAATTACGTGCCTAGAAGAATTGACAGGAATTTTAGCGACGAACTTTTTTTTGGTGGATAAGCATGACTCGTTCTTTTTTATGAACTAAAGATTGTGTAGTTCCACTTCTGTGGAGCGGGATGAAACGATAACAGGGTTCACCTTATGGCCTAAATGGGAGACCGAGCCTTCTGCTCATTCGCCCCGCGCCTCTGGAACTCCCTCCCAGATCAGCTGAGATCTGCCCCTTCCACCGAGGTCTTCAAAACCGGCCTTAAGAGCCTCTTCTTTCGGCAGGCCTTCCAATAAACTTTGAGCATGGTACACCTGGAGTAATGCCATTTTTATCGCTATCTCCGACTTTTACTTTTGTACGCTATTTTATTTTTAATTTTTTGATTTCTTATTATTATTACAATTATTTGTTTAATCTCTCAAAGTGTATCAATATCCCTTGTTGTGAAGCACTTCGAGATTTGTCTTGGCAGATGAGAAGCGCTATATAAATTAAATGTATTTATTTAAGTACCTCAACATTGTCCTTAAGTACAGTGTCTACGTAAAAGAGATACTGTCTACAGCTTTTCATTGACCTATTGTGAGTCGCCTCGGATAAAAGCATCACATGGAAATGTCCATTACTACATTGCTGACTCTAATAAACGACACACCCGCCAGAACACTGCGCTCATCAGGTCTATCAACTGTGATGTTATAGCATGTCTGCACTTTGTGCTCATTTCATCATTCATGTATTTGATATTCTACTCAAACTGAATCAAACCATAAACACGGTGGCCTGTTGGGATATCTGCATGATCCCACGTTATGCTTTGCTCTTGTTTTACACTGATGTCTTATTTCTTACTGCCGTAAAGCACTTTGAACTTAGATGGATGTTTCTCTGTTCATTCTCCCATTGTCCTCCTCAATCTGCCTACAAGTATTTTAATGTTGTTACTATAACTAATACTAATGCTAGGGCTGGAGGACAGCTGTGGGCACATTGTTGTTGTTTCTTATCGCTGTGTGATTCAAAGAATAATGGACCGCACACGCTATTTGTTGTTTGTTTATATCACGGTCTGTTCTTCTTCTCTGTCTTCCGGTTGTTGCCTCTTTTGAATGACGAATACACACTACCGCCGCCTGCTGGCAAGGAGATGATCCTATGTGTAGGTCTGCAGGTGTCCCCAGAGTCCGGCAGAGGCTCCGGCATGTAGGGCTTCTGTTTGTAGAAAGTTCGGTAACACTTTATATTAAGGTACACAAATTAACCATCAACTAGTTGTTAATTAACATGCATATTAGCTCTTTATTAGTCATTATAAAACACTTATTAATGCCTTATTCTACATGACCATATTCTACAAGTAATAAGCCATTAGTTGAGAGTTTTTCCTCAATAACCCTCTAATTAGTGCTTATTCATTGCAAGTAAGGAAGTTGTTGTCCATGAGTTTTGGTCTTAATATGCGCTGCTTAATATGGGCCTAATAAGGCAGTAGTAGCTCAAGATAGTAATTCTCCCATAATAACACTTAACAAATATGATCTATTCTTATGGAACAAGACATGAAACTATAAGTGTTAATTGTGTCTAAATAACTCAAAATTAGGTATTTATATCTAAGAACATGTTCCCTATTCTAAAGTGAAGTCTTGTTCATAACCAATAAGCTATTAGTTTGACTCTAATTGACCTGAACAGGTTCCCTATTCTAAAGTTGCCTCCTCTTCACACTTTGTAAATACATTATAGCACACAACTACTGAAATGAACCTCAACAGTACATGAACAAAGTAGGCACACGTTGAAATATCTGTTTTATTAATGAACCACTATAGAGAGGTTCAGACACATACATGTACCAAAACATGTCAAGTTTCTCCAAGGCTGAGAACACATGCAGCCTGTGCTTTTTAATACAAACTGATTTTTAACAGAGTTTATGTATTTGTGATCATACTGTGTGACCTGCTTGTATGTTCTTACACAGTAGGTGTGCTGTTCTCTCTCTGTGTTGTCTCAGTGTGAACATAGACAGCCAGCCAAACTCTTTTGAGAGCCAGGGAATGAGCAGCCATGCTCCTTTATTGACTTATTTGCAGTCCACTGACATTCAAACGGAGTGAAACTATAAAAAAAGAAGTTACAAGGCACTTAATGATCTCATACATGCAAGTGTAACACACACAGATGAACACATTAGGACCGCTTAGTGTAAACAAGGTAAACATAGCTAATGCTAGCTGTACAATAAGCATGTATACAGGCTAGTATGGCTAACGCTAGCATGTATGCTAACGCTACCGTGTATGCTAACACTAGCGCGAATGCTAACGCATTTTCTCATTGAGTTTAAACATCTCCACATGTCATCACACAAACACAATACATGTTACTAATCCTTACAGTGTAAGTGTAAGGCTCACACTTACACTTACAGTCATTGCTTTCTGACGGACTTGACCCTTTTACTCTTCAGGTTGCAAAGGGAAAATTAGTGGCGGTGTAGTTCACGTTCTCCTACTTCCTGTACCCGGGTCTAACCTTCAGTACACATTTTACACAAATATAAATGTGCAAATATGAAACATACAGGTCAATATCACCTTGCTATTGGTAGCTGAACTGTCAATACCCCAAAACATATTATAAAATATAAATACCTAATTTTGAGTTGTTTAGACTTAATTAACACTTATAGTTTCATGTCTTGTTCCATAAGAATAGATCATATTTGTTAAGTGTTATTATGGGAGAATTACTATTCTTGTGCTACTACTGCCTTATTACGCCCATATTAAGCAGCGCATATTGAGACCAAAACTCATGGACAACAACTTCCTTACTTGCAATGAATCAGCACTAATTAGAGAGTTATTGAGGAAAAACTCTCAACTAATGGCTTATTACTTGTAGAATATGGTCATGTAGAATAAGGCATTAATAAGTGTTGTATAATGACTAATAAAGAGCCATTATACTGCTAATATGCATGCTAATTAACAACTAGTTGATGGTTAATTTGTGTACCTTAATATAAAGTGTTACCGAAAGTTCCAGTGAAAAATAATAACTTGAGAAATCTTATGTGCCCCCCCCCCCAATATAAAATACAATTATTCAAAGTGACGATTAGAGAAATAGGGTGAAGTGGCCAAAATCCCCAAAAGTTTGTCTTGTAACTCGATACCTCAAAAGTGATTGTAGAGCTTGGGCCTGGGAAGCAGTGTCAGAGAAAATCCACTGGACGTTTCAGTTGCTTTTCAATGTTTATTTCCAGCAAACATAAAACAAAATACCAAAACAATATTTAACATAAACTTAAACAGCAGATCCTAATAATCTGTCTTTGACTAATCATAAGGTTGCGTCTGCGTGTCAATGACGGTATTGCTGCTGACTGCTGCTCTCCCGTCACACACCGCACCTCCAACTTAAAGCCCCGCCCCCTTCAATTAAGAATAATAAAAAAGATAGAATGCATTTTAAGAAACACCCCCCCGAGTTGATTATACAACCTTAAGTAAAGCCACGGCCACACGAGGACGATAACGGTCGTATCCGCTATAGTTCACTATCAGATAGACGGTTCGGCCACACGAGGCCGACACGGAAACGATAACGGGTCCCTAGGTGGGTAGATCTGCAAACGAAACGCTCTGGGGGGGGAAACGGCTGTGTTTACGCCTATACGATCATTTCCTGATAACGATTAAGCAATAGCCCCGCCTCTCCCGCTCAGAGATCAGCTGCTGGGCTGAAGAAGAGGGGGAGGAAAAGAGAGGCTCCGTTTTTTATTCTTATTCATTATTCTTTTTATTCTTATCGAGTCGTTATCAATTTGTTTTAAAGCTCAATAAATAACAAAGAAGACCTTTGACCGGCACTTTTCTAATTTTGTCCGGAAGATTTAAACTTTAACGGACATGTTGACCGTCGAAAAAAAATCTAACAAACTCTGCCGCACGGTCCCCTCGTCCCTTGGAAGAGGCGGAGAGGTGGGTGTTCTTCATCTGCTGGTGGACGACCAGAGAGAGTTACAGGAGGGGCAAACGCTCGCCTCGGGGAGGGAGAAAAAGAGCCAGTGTCCACATCGGAGAATAAACGGAAGGGCAACCATGCGCGGGAAGTCTTCTTCGCTGCTTTTGTGGCAGACTACAGCGCCACTTAATGGCCTGGCATATGTACTACAGCGTCTTCAGCGGTCTCGTGTGAACGGACACGTTTCTGGTGCCTGTTGCGTGTGGACGGAAGACTTTTTTGACAACGATTGCGGTCTGTTTGCGTTATCGTCCTTGTGTGGCTCCAGCCTTAGACATTGTGTAACGTCATGGCTCTGGGCCTCTGTGTGTGTGTGTGTGTGTGTGTGTGTGTGTGTGTGTGTGTGTGAGTGTGTGTGAACATGGTGTGTGTGTGTGTGTGTGTGTGTGTGTGTGTGTGTGTGTGTGTGTGTGTGTGTGTGTGTGTGTGTGTGTGTGTGTGTGTGTGTGTGTGTGTGTGTGTGTGTGTGTGTGTGTGTGTGTGTGTTGAATGCCAAACTAAGATGAAGGGAAACCAAAGCATGAATCAGATAGCTGCTCTCCAAACAGATCCTCAGCAGAGAGAGAGAGATTCGGGCCTTTCACTGCTCAGGTGCCGGCGGCCAGGTGCCCTCAGTCAGTCTGATAGGGAGGAAGGGAGATCGTTAAAGGGCCATACACATACACACACACACACACACACACACACACACACACACACACACACACACACACACACACACACACACACACACACACACACACCGGGAGAGAGTAAAGCAGGGGTCCTCACAGTATTGTGTGCTTGCATTATTTTTGGCGATGAGGCTTCAGTTGCGGAGTTGTGGAGCCAACACAAGACGCTTCCTCAGGGTGTGCCAAATTGCGGGCATCTGCGTTGTTGGACCACACCTCGCACCAAACTCACATCTCAAAGCAGTGTCTTTCCTGGCTACTTCCTTGTTCACGCGGCGGAGTATGACTTCAATTTCTTCATTCCTAAAAAAATATGAGGGGTCGAAAAAAAACCTGTTATCACATGATGGTCACATTAAGTCAAGGGTAAAATATTCATGTAAACAATTTTATCATCAGATTTAGATCTACAACATCTTTCGGATATTTCAATCACTATATAATTAATGTTGAGTCTGACATTCACCTCTTACAGCCCTTTATTAGCTGCTTACAGACAGATTGGATGAACCAGCTCCCCTCCTTTATGTCTCTAATCGACTTATAATCTTCAATAGTGGAACTATGAACTAGAAAATCTGCTTCCTGAGGGATGGATTTTGAGTGAGAGCTATCAGTCGGCCGTGTCGAGTGAGAGCTATCAGCCTGCAGATGGTCTGATACCACCATAGGATGATCCTGGCCCCCCTGGCAGGCCTGGATCAGGAACACTTTGGGCTTGGCAGTGAGGGGAGATTGAGGAGTTGCCATGAAGATTCTCGTTATTTGTTTGATACGGAGGGACTGCCCATCAACCCCCAATACGACACCCTTGTCTCCGTGACTGAGAACACAGCAGATGAAGGCATCGCCATGCCGAGGAACGTCTTGAAGATCGGTGAATACGCTGCTAGTCCACTCCTGGACCTGGACCTTGAACTCCTGCAGCTGAGAAAGGCCCCGCTGAGAAGCAAAGCATTCCAGCGCTCGCTCCATCTGGTCCTTGGTTTGGTCTTTACACATCAGCACTCTGAACCCCAGCCAGCTGAACACCTCTGCCAAGCTTTCTGCAGTGAAATAAAACCTAGTTAGGCTTCAACAGGCAACACCGGGGTGATCATATGAATCTGTCAACTCTGCAACGTACCAGCATCTATATCGGTTCCATGTCTCACGTCACCACTAACAAAATGTTTGTTGTTTATGATCAGGCAGAGGCCGGTGGGCTGGCTCTTCAACTCGTACGGCTCGTCCTGAAAACAGAAACCATTTCACACAAACACAAAATGATGAAACTAGAATGGATTAGGGCGGGGCTACGTGGACACAATCTAATATATTTACTAGGGCTGTCAGTCGATTAATATAGTTAATCGCGATTAATCGCAAATTAATCGCACATTTTTATCTGTTCTAAATGTTCCTTAGAGGAATATTCTTCAAGTTTGTAATACTCTTATCAACATATGAGAGGACAAATATGCTTTATGCTAATGTTTATTATCATTTGAACAATGACAAATATTCTCATGAATATTAAACACAACAACCTGTGTGTGTGTGTGTGTGTGTGTGTGTGTGTGTGTGTGTGTGTGTGTGTGTGTGTGTGTGGTGTGTGTGTGTGTGTGTGTGTGTGTGTGTGTGTGTGTGTGTGTGTGTGTGTGTGTGTGTGTGTGCAACTCAAGGCATATGCTCGAACGGGAGCTGCCTGGACGCTGCAATCATGTTGCACTATCCGTGCTGAGTGTGCTGACTTCTCGTCCAATGTCCCACTGTCTGGCTTCCTGCATAAAGTCAAGTGCTCGGCGCAGTTGTGGCGAAATGTCGCTCCTCTGTTTTCATTGAAACAGCTCCTTATATCCGTTAGCGCAGCTAGCTAGCACCAGATGCTAACAACAACAATGCACGTAAGGTCTCTCTCTCGCTCGCTCGGGCCACACATACACACACCCTCCCGGTCCTCCAGATGGCCAGTCGGTGCCTGCCGGTGAGCGTGGAAGTGTGGTCTGCCACAAGCGGGCGGCAGGAGCGGGGCTGTCAGCATCAGCTTGTAGATGGTATTTTAAACTCGATGCGCTCTGAAACCACGGGGCGGCCGAGGGAAAAAAATACACATGCGTTAATCGCGTTAAAATAATTAGTGGCGTTAATTTTTTTTGCGTTAACGCGTTATTAACGCGTTAACTTGACAGCCCTAATATTTACACTTTAAGGTTTTTGATGAATAATAATAGCTATGTGGATGTCATTGCTAAATAGTGCTGCAGATCATTAAAGATATTAATAAATATCCAAAAGTGGAAGCAAGTACTCAAAACAAACAAACTCCTTTGAGTTGGCTCTTTTGAAGAAGCCCGCCTGCCACTCCAAAGATGGCGGCAATGTTCAAGACGGTCACCAATGATTGTTTGGAAATGTCCTTTTTTTTTGCCATTAAATCACTTTCACTCGCTCAATAATTGATCTTGGTGTCAAATCATACATTTAATAACAACGTAGAAACAAAATTCAGACGTCAGAGGCCTGTACTACGAAGCCGGTTCAACATAACCTGGATATGTTTGAGTTAGCCGGTTGGCCTAATCCGGGCCTATTCAAATGGCGGCCCACAGGCCAGATGCGGCCAGAACCAACTACCGAGTGGCCCAGCCTCCCGTGGCCAAATTCCTACACTAGTACAGACCATGAACGCAACACTCCGCGTTGCATAGAAACCACCAAACCACAACGCAGCACGTTTTTGAAAGTGCATCTAGTGGTGCTAGTAACGGTGGTTCTATGATAGCAACTCTAAAACATGTCTCTCTCAACTGAAGCGTAAACAGAGACAAAACGGTCATTGATCTTGTGGAGCAGATGCGTGCATTCCAAGTCAAGCTGGACCGACTTGAGTACGGGTCGGATGCTGCATTTTCCGACGCTCCACAAACACATCACATCCTCAGCACAAATCACCGATGTGATGACAGATTTCATTGCGAGGTTGAAAGAGAACTTTGCAGGTCGATTGGATGGACTTGCTCTGCCCACAGAGGTGATGGGCTTTGCCAGAGACCCCTTCACTGTTGCAATAGAGGGGGACGTATCAACCAGAGCAAAGGAAGTGGTCCCCTGCATCGACGAGGGGACATTTATACTGGAACTTATTGACATGCATTCATCCGTAACCATGGCACAAGAGCAGCGCACTAACGGGCCAGCGAAAGTTTTGGAGTGACGTCAAAAAACAGCAGTTCCCTAACGTTCAGAAAGTAGCGATCTGTGTGCTCAGTATGTTTGGATCAACATTCAAATGTGAGTCAAGCTTTTCACACATGAACTCAATAACAAGTAGCACTCGCTGCTCCCTGACTGACAGCACTCTTCACCAATGTCTTAGGATTGCATTGACATCCTATGAGCCAAAAATCACTGCTCTTGTTCAAAACTAAAAATGTCACTTCTCCCATTGAGAAAGTCAGAGATGACAAATCACAAATGAGGTGATAGTAAGCACCTAGTTTACTATAGTAGACGTGTAGTGTAGTATTCATTCATATGTTCGTTACCCTTATCCCTTGTTATGGTTTGTGCACTGAAGGGTTTGACAGTTCTTTTTGTATTTAAATGCACTTTGTAATGTGTCTGGGTCAAATGTGACCAAAACGTATGATTTTTTTTTGTTATTACTTGAAAAGTGAAAAAATAGTATTGTATTTATTATAGCTATAGTTCTACCTCTTTGTGTTACATTGGAGCACTTTTTGATGTGCATGTGTCATATGTAGCTATCAGGGCTGCACGGTATTGAAAAAAACTGACATCGCGATTTCCCCCCCTGCGGTATATATTGTGTTTTTTTTAACCTGTTAAGCCCCAAAGTCCCGGCGGGTACTTTACATTTTTTTTTCACGACAGTGTCTCAGGGGATCGTAATATTTAAGAACCTATTAATGTGTTATACCAGATTAACGGAAATAATCTCAGCTAACTGACGATACAAACCATTTTTACCAAAACAAAACACAAGTCTCATAAGAAGCATCTAAATGACCCCTGAGCGAAAAATGCTAACGCACTTTGGTACAGAACTCAAGATAAAAGTACCCTTATTACTTATCGTAGCTGCACTTACAAGATATCCGATTAAAGCTGAGGTTCCACAGATTATTTAGGTATATAGTATCATCACTGAGTGATCTGAACTCGGACAGGGGAAGCAAACACAGACATCACAACACGTACCTTTACGTAGCTTCGAGGGGAGATGTCTCACCGTAGCTGTCAATCTGATCAAAAGACGTGTTCAATGGCATTAAAACGAGAGAAAAAACGCGGCTGAATCGGTTAATCCATAGGTTTTTAACGTCTCTGTATAAAAAAATGATTTAATTTATAATCCATAATTCCATTTTATGTAAATATCGCAGAGCAAAAATTAGCTGCTAATGGTAGCCACCAGAGTGGCTGCTGCTTCCGGTCTTGGCTATGCGGAAGTCTCTCACACACACATTACCAAATAAGGACTGTGTGATTTCCCCTCGATTCCATTGGCTCTGACGGTCAGAAAGAGATGTCACATGTCACAATCCAGCAAGGGGGGCCAGAGATATGGAAAATCCACCCAAATGGCCCCAGAAGAGGGTTTTTTGTGCTAAATCTGTCTAAAAAGGTCAAATATCAGGGGAAGTTCTACACACACCAACACATGAACAAATAAGGAGTGAGAGTGACGACGCGTAGCCAAAACCGGAAGCTGCATACCACCAAGGTGGCTACCATTAGCAGCTAACTTTTGTGCTCCGATTTTTACATAAAAATGGAATTATGGATTATAAACAATTGCTTCAAAGTCACAGATACATTATCAACCTATGGATCAACCGATTCAGCCGCGTTTTTTCTTTCTCGTTTTAATGCCATTGAACACGTCTTTTGATCAGATTGACAGCTCCGGTGAGACGATCTCCCGTAAAAGGTACGTGTTGTGATGTCTGTGTTTGCTTCCCCTGTTGCGAGATCGGATCGCTTAGAAGATACTATACTTAAATAATCTGTGGAGTCTCAGCTTTAATCGGATATATTGTATGTGCAGTTTCGATAAGTAATAAGGGTATCTTTATTTTGAATTCTGTGCTAAAGTGCGTCAGCATTTTTTTTTTAAAATGAATAAAACCGCACATCCCTGCGGTGTGAATACCGCGCATGCGCATACCGCGGTTATCGCCATGACACGGTATATCGTTCAGCCCTAGTAGCTATCCAATTTCATTTTGTAAGTGAGGACATTTATTAAGACTGCTATTATTGTATTCAGTTAAATGCACTTCGTGATGTGCCTGGTTAAAAAAAACATAACCTGAATATTTGACTTCTAAAGAAAACAAATGTAATGCTACAACTGTGCAATTTTTTTTTAATGCACTTTGAGAATCCTCAGATTCTGTTAAATTAATGCAAATTTGTTGTGTTTTTATGCACTTTTTGACGTACCTTTGTTAGATGAACAATGAATACAAATGGCATGTTTTTCATCGCAGTAATATGTGTTGGTTTAAAATGTGTCATTACCCGCTTTTTACAGGCCGCTGAATGTCTGACTGAATGTGTAATTGAATAGCCCTGGCCTAATCCAAAACATACGCGCTCTCGCTAAGCGGTCCTACGACGCGGGTTATCAAGTGGATCGCTCAAGCCAGCCATGTCCTATCTAGTTAGGCGTTCACATGAGAGGGGTGGTATCTGGAGCATTCGACCAATCACAGACATGGAGAAGCGCACTGACAGCGCAGCGTCATACTTCCTGAATGAACAGTCAACTATAATATTAGACATATGAAGAAGTTAAACTTGAAACATCCATGACTTAAACACTTGATCCAGGATCAAAGCCACAGAGCTGCACCTGCAAGGTGAATACAGCTGGGAACAGAACAAGTGTTTGAATGCGTACATTAACAGCTTTATGATATCACTGCCCGTCTAAGACACCATCTGACTTTCATTACATTTGACTCCAGTGTTTCCTCAACTTAATGTGTTGCTTCAAATAATGCTTCTGCATCCAGTCTGTGACGCTGTGAGTGTTGCACGGCCAGATACGGCTCAGCTGACTCAGATCAGGAGATGATACATTATGAAGTGATATGGACTGTACTTAATGTGACTCTGATCCGGTTACTTATGTTGTGGGCAGATATTTCAGTAAGCTTTCTTAACGCTAATGTTATAATAGTCAGATTGCTCTGAAGATGGAGCTGATATTCTATTCATGTTCACGTTCACACAGTCGCTGATTGTTGCCGGCCGTCTTTCCTGCAACGGCAGCTTTTCTGTTTTTCCTTTCTCCTGTAATATGACTTGATCGCTTTAAACTCCGCACACTGAGCTCTGATTGGTCAGCAGGCGGTGCTTTCACTGAGTTGATCTCTTAGCCTGCAACCTAACCTGCTCCAGAGCAGGCTAGCCGCTCAGCATCAGTTACCATGGAGATCTAGCCGCTAAAAAGAGAACCAGCTTCGTAGGAC